TAATATTAATTGTAACATATATATATATATAAAAAAATAATTTTAAATATATTTAAAAAATAAATAATAAATTAATAAAGTTTAAATAATTCTATTAGTAACCAAACATATTCAAACATATACTAAAGCATAGATAGGTTAATGCACTATGTATATACTATACTTATATAGAAATTAGCTAAAAATATAGATAATAAAATTTTATATTAGTTAAAAAATGCAGACTTCAATTTATCGTGATATCAAATTTTATTGAAAAAATTGCATACAATAAATATAAAATCTAAATATTTTTTTTAAATAAAAAAATCTATGCAATCATATATTTAACTATTTAACTTCTACAATGAACTATATCTTACGAAGAACATTACTAAATGAAATATTTAAAAAATTGTATGAGGATAGGAAATCTCACCTTGACTGTTGGTTTGTCCTTTCATCCGCTGCATTCCGTTGCATGGAAAAATATACAAAATTTAGAATGGCTGTCTTCAGTGAAAGGTAAGTATCTGCAGTATAGCGGTGTGGTAGCAAGTCAACACACTGACCTGATTTGAAACAGCACCTGCCAATCCAGTTGACATAACCTGTCACACACTCTGTCTGCCCTTCACAGACGCCAAATAGACGGCTGTGCCTTAATAAAATAAAGTTTTCAAACGCAATACCACAATTACATACAACAGCGTTATACCACTCAAGTACGCGGGCACTTCTTTCTAAAGAGAAATCTTCAACTTTAAAATTCGCTATACCTGAGACCTCCGCGTTTCTTCCTGTAATGTCTTGCCGCGAGAGAGTCTCAGGAATTCTTTTTGTTACACTTCGAGACAAATAAATTTGCACAGAATTCTCAACTCCGAATAATAACTACGTGACGTGCACTGACCTCTCGTATATATTAACAGATTGTCTAACATTCGCAACGATAAGGTCCCTATATGACTTCTTTAAATAATGTTTACCTTACAATGTAATTGAATCATAAATTAAATAAAAAATCTTTCTTTACAATATTTTTATATGTAATTTTTAAATTTATCGTTATTAAATGTTAATATCTTTTTTATTACATACTATAAACATTTTTTTTTATGTTCATATTTACTAGTTCTTACTACAGTATTAGAGCTAGAGAATCAATGTTGAGTATGGTCATGTCTCGTATTATAATAAATCTATTTTATACTTATACATTAACGAAGAATTAATTTACACAATATATAATATAATATTTTCATAAATAAAAAAATATTATATATACTTATATTATGTATTATTATATAAATATTACATAAATTTATATAAATTTTATATAAAAATTTTAAGTGATTTTATAATATTAATGTTTGTAAGAAAAGTGTAATAACTTTAATAATTTATATATTAATTATATTATTATATTTAATTTATCGATGTAATATTATAAATATT